TAATCAAACTATATTAAATCAATATTCTGTAATCTAAATTTAATTATTTCAATCTTTCACCATGTTCACAAAAGACATCTGGACATGAAAAAAGTAAAACAACAAAAATACCGAACTCCAAGGAAATTTCAAAAATGGAAAGTCCCTTAACAATTGGCAAAATCAAAACCTCAAACACATCAAACGAATGGAAAACAACTGTCATATATAGATTCCTGACTTGGTACAGGCATTTCCTTATGTAGAAAATGGTGGATTAAACCTGGTTTTAAAGCTAGCTAAACCTTTCACTTGTATGACAGTTGCATAAAATTCCATTATATTGACAACAATGTGTGAACAAAACAAACAGACATAATAGGTAAAAATGTCAAAAATAGGGGTACAGCAGTCAACATTGTGTTTATAATCTCAATCACCATAAACATGATAAAAACATACAAATATGTCAAAAAAGAAAAACAAAATGGCATATAGACAAAGCACATATGCAAATATGAAACACAAGTATACAAAAATTGTCCACAGCACAACAACACAATGGCAGGATGTACAAGTACTGAGCCACACCTAAAGGATATTACCAAAAATGGACAAAACAGTAAACGTTAATAATTTACAAAGACAAATTAAAGAACACTATAACACGTAATTAAGATGATAAACAACGTCAGTACCTAGAATCTATACATCAAGACTATCATGTATTATTTGTGTAGTTGATACGGAATATTTATCAACAAGGTCTTGGTATCTTCTGATGAAATTTTTTAGAAAAAGGACGAGATGTTCTTTGAAATAACCCTGGTTCATCAACTTTCTGCTCAGACACTGGTGATGTTTTACAAAGTCTGAGTAGCAGCTGCAAGCTCTTGAATACCGAATGAGTTGGGAAATGTATATCCCATATGCAGGTGAAGTTGGTATATTGCTACTAAGGTGGGGGAAAATTGATAATTTCAAAATTTAAATCCTCTCGTTTGTCATAGATTCTGGTACTGAGATGACCGCTTATGTCAAATTTGAGGTATAAGTCTAAAAATGAGGCTGAGGAAGCCATGTCTGTTGTTTCTTTAATTGCTGGTTCTGGAGAATATATTAATGGAACCCACTACACGATAGACAGATGGATGTCTACACAAAAAAATTTGTGATATTGAATTGTCTATTTTGACGCACTTTAAAATTGTTCTCAACATGTCCATAGACAGTCAGGTTGTCTTTTTCGTAGAAACTCATTCAATCATTTATCAGTCAGGGGAATTAATTATGAGTGATTTTATAAATTATCGTGGGACTATTTACAATTTATGATGCTAAAATTATCAGAACCAACATCTGCATGATCTGTGTTTATAGGATGACGAGTCATGTCAGGTGATGACCCTGTACTAAGTCTCATACATTGTCATACCTCTATTTTCTTCCAAAAAATCACTACTTTACGTATTGTTTTATTAATTACATGGTTTAACATTATTAGTACTCTAACATTAGATATAGTCCAGAGTTATGGTCCATAACTCTGGACTAAATCATCAGACCGAAACAAAATTCGAACTTGATCTATAACTTGTCATGATAAAACTATATACCAAATAGCAAATCAATATCTTCAAGAACAAAGAAAAAAGTGCGGAAAGCTGATTTGCCGGACTGAGTGATAGACAGACCTACAGATGGACAGATGGACAGACGGACAGAGGGACAGACAGACGGAGTGCAAACCTAAAGTCCCCTTCGACTTCGTTGGTAGGGGACTAATAAAGATAACTTGTACAAGTAGAACCCCTGACTGAAATAAAAAGGCAGGACAGCGATTACAACTAAAAATAAAATGAAGGACAAAATTTTTCATCCTAGTCACATAAAATCAAATGGTAGCTCCCTAATATATTTTTTTATACATACAGATGGATGTCTACACAAAAAAATTGTGATATTGAATTGTCTCTTTTGACAGACTTTAAAATTGTTCCCATCATTTTTTAAATCAATTCAAGAAACATTTTGTCCAGAAATGTTGCAAGTAAGAGTAAGTCTTTCTTTAATAAACACCTATTTAAGTAGTACAAATAAATCACTAGACTTAAGTTATTTTATTTTGTTGTAGCATTATTAATGATCTTGGGACTAATTATGATGCTAAAATTGTCTGAACCAACTTCTGGGATGACATGAAAATTGCTTGTTTAAGTCTCATACCTCTATTTTCTTCCAAAAAATCACTTTAAGTACTGTTTTATTAATTACAATCCCCCACCCCACTATTTTCAACACCCCCAAACAGTTAAATTTTGATCGCGAACAGTAAAATTTTATCGCATTTTCTGAAAGCTGAAACCTTGAATTTTACAGGAAAAATACTCCAACTGGTTGGAAAAATCTGTTAGGAAAGTCTTAGATTATTATTCATGATAGCATTTTTTTCAACGAATTTAGAATTTACAGATGAAAGATTGCATCTTACTATTTAAAAGAAGCAAAAGGTCCATTTTTCAATTTTACAAATAATTAGATATAGTCTAAACCCTTATTTTAAAATTTTTGGTAAAAGTACTAAATCACAGAATTTCTAATTTACTATTTAAATGAGTGATTTAATAAACTGATTCGCTGAGCGCAGCTAGATATGCCCGCAGAGGTCCAACCCTGAACAGTTGGGGCAAAAATGGACACAATATTCAAGCTTGATTCAGGTCTGAATTTGGATTGTAATTAAATATTTGACATATTATAGGTTTCTGAATAAATGTAGTCAAAGAACTTGAAATTGGTTATATGAATTGAATTTATATTCAATTAAAGATTTCTTGCTGTTGTGCAATACTTAGTATATCTGTTGTCAGCCTATAAACAAATAAAGTTCAATTAATTCTCAATGTCATATTAGAAATTTATGAAAATAAAAAGGGAGCTTACATGTACATCATGTACATCAATAGATATAAACAATTCACCAAAGTTTCATGAGAATTGGTGACAGCATTTTTGAGTTATTGTCCGAAAACTGGAAAATCACCCCTTTTTTTAATGAATAAAACCCCATAACTTAGAAATGTAAATTGTAAAATTTATAAAATTTTAAAGAGAGCTTACATCAATACATACAAACAGTTCAACAAAGTTTCATAAGAATTGCTGAAAGCATTTTAGAGTTTTTGTCCGAAAACTGGAAAATCCCCCCTTTTTTTATGAATAAAACCCTGTAACTCGGAAAAGTAAAATCTAAAATTTATAAAAATCGAAAGGGAGCTCATGTCAATGGATATAAACAATTCACCAAAGTTTCTTGCAAGTTGGTGAAAGCATTCTTGACTTATTGTCCGAAAACTGGAAAATCCCCCTTTTTTTTATGAATAAAACCCCATAACTCGGAAACTTAAAATCTAAATTTTATAAAAAACGAAAGGGAGCTCATGTCAATAGATATAAACAATTCACCAAAGTTTTATACAAATTGGTGAAAGCATTTTTGAGTTAATGTCCAACATGTTGACGACGGACAGACGGACGGACGGACGGACAGACAGACAATGGTATACCATAATACGTCCCGTAAACGGGCGTATAAAAATCACTTATTTCAGTAATTCCCCTAACTGTTTATATACATGATATAGTAAAAACTCAAAGTTGTCATTATAGACAGTCTGAGTTGACTTTATGGACAGTCCAAGACAGACCTGCCAACTATCCTGATTTATGGGGGATATCCCCCATGAGAGGTGTTGACCTGAATTTTGAAATACTTTATAATATAAACTGAACACCTCAAAACATGCATTCGGGTGCAGGTCGTTTCTGACCTGGTCGTTTCGTAATAACTAGGTCGTTTTGTACCTGAGACGTTTTGTAACCTTATATCAATATATAATAACAATAAGAGTAGTAGGTTACGTAAAAAGTAATAAAAAGACTTATTGATGTATGTATATATATATATCTATATTTATTTATTAAATAATTGATTGAACATAAATTTACACTTTACAAGTACAGTTTTGCACACATGCGAATGAAAAATCAGGCTTTATGCCAGTATAAGCATACAAACAAAGGACAACATAGTGATGTATCTGAAAGAAAGAAAAAGAATAGAGTAAGATAAAGTGTTCTTAAAAAAAAAAAAAAAAAACCTGCTACTCTGCCAACGCTGGTCCCCAGCCCGGGTGAAAAAGGAGGAGGGTTATGCAATTGCATGTAAAAGTGAAAAAAAGGAGAAAATAATTATTTTTTCAGGTTGTGTGCCATAGGGCGTGTGCCATTAATCTACTAAATCACTTTACACCTACTGTAATTACTTTTTATTACCTGTCATTAGTTGTCATAAAACCATTTAAGCTGTCACCGAGCGTAACTACCAATTAGCCAATTAGCCAATAATTAAAAAGATTTAAGAAAGTTTTAAATTAAAAATATTACAATATTGTTATTATTAGATGAACAATTTGATCATTTTTAAATAATAACTTTAACTTTTTCATTTAAACTAGTTAATTTAAACTAACACTTTATCACCATATATAATTACACCAGGTACGAAACATCTCAGTTACAAAACAACGTAGTTACGAATCGACCAGGTACAAAACGACCAGGTTACGAAATGACGTGCATTCATGCATTCACATGAGTTGTAAGGGGATTTAAGCACATATATACTAATTCAAACAAAATAGAAGTAGATTAAGATCACGTATGACAATATAAGAGAAGCATTAGGTCCTCTTGCACTCAAAATCCCCCATGAAGATTTTGAAAAATTGGCAGGTATGCCGAGTTGACTCTATAGACGGCCCGAGTTGACTTCTTGACGGTCCCAGTATTCTTCATAAACGGTCCGAGTTGTCTTTGTGCCGAGTTGTCTTTGGGCCGAATTGTCTTGCACAGATGAAGATCAAGATTAGTATGTTAATACGCTATAGAGTTTCTGATTGATTTGCTGACCTTTTGTTCATTTTGCTTATGATTTGTTACTATTAGTTAACCATGTTTACCTATGAGTGTTAGCTGTGATATTTATGATAGAATGTCGTTTCTTTCTCCTCTAATTTATTTCTTCTCTGGTTCAATTTCTAATACACAAATGTGTACCGGTTATGCCTGATTTTCTGTATCGCTAGATACGGAAACATGTCGTGTTTATTCGGTCTCCCGTAAAAGATATTAGAAAATGAAATATGAACCGAAAGTGAAATATGAATCTCTCGCCGCCACAGATATCAAGATTTCAAAGCAGCATCACATGATTGCATCCATTCATAGTGGTCCTAATGAGAATAACATCTTGTAAGACTTTTGGTATGTTTTTATTTGCTTGACACATATTTTCAGAACTTTTTTGAATACAAGAAAAAACTCCAAACAAACATTACCCGTTTATGTCATGAGGATTCTCCCCAACTTGTTTGTCAAACATCATTACTTTCTTCCTGGAACCACAGTTTAGTGTATCTGATCAGATGAGGTTTCACTGTCAATAGCGGTTGATATCCAATATAAAATAATTATTTACATAGGATAGCAACAGCCAACAGCTATTGACAGTTAAACCTCATCTGACCCACTAAACAAGACCTAGTGCCCAGTGCAGGGACCAATACATCTATCTATTACTATTAGTCCCAGTGTTCTTCACAATTTACATTGTACCTTAGAATCTGTTTCCTTAACATACTCCTTTGGGATTAAAGAGGACAGCAAAATTAGAAAATTGCTCCGGACACAAAATCCAAAAAGATATTATTTCCTCAGCAAAATACCTTGACATCACTCTCCAATCTGACACATCTGACATAAAATATCGACAACACACAAACAATATCATCCATGTCATCGCAAATGCAAATACAAGCCCCGAATGAAACCTTAAAACATCTATCACAAACATTAAGTCGTAGGCTAGCATGGCTAGTCCTGGTATAATATAAGCCTTTGTAAATGTTGTATGTCCATATCGTTGGCTTTTAACATTTTTTATCTGAAATTTTTTTTTCAGCATTGATAGGAAAAAAAAACTTATTAAAAACGTTGAAAGCAAACAGCATGGACCTATGAAGGCTTATATCATGTATATTATTTGATTTTGTCGCAGGCATATCTGTATGTATAACTTGTCTGTCCAAAACTAGAGTATGATTATCCCGTTTTGAACCCTCACACTGCCGAACATTGCAATAAACTTGAGATGGTCCAATGACAGACAGCTAGGTACACCTGTTATCCTTATCATAATACTAGACTAGTCATGCTAGTAGTGTTACTCAGTCAGTCAGAGCTCAGACATAGATAAGTCTAATTTTACTTCCCCCCCCCATACTATCACAATGGAACTTACTACCTATAACACACCACTTTCCCCTACACTCAGTATTTTCAGAAAGCAGTTAAATAACAAAGATCCCATAGTTCAGGCAGATAGCCAGTTGAAATTAAACAAAAGAAATGGAACTCTTTGTTACAGAAGGTAAAAAAGGCCAAATAGGTATATTTGAATTGTTTATATCAGTTTCTATGGGCTTTAAAAGTTTAATGAAGGTGCATCATTTAGGATTTTATGCATTTATATACATGTTTTTACTTCAATTATAGTATGGAGCTTTGAGATATTTGTAAACTTTTAAATTATAGACACATTTTAATAAACCAGTCGATTGTGGTAGGTGCAAATACATGTGGATCTTTTTTGTGCATAAGCATAAATTCTGCCGGAAAAAAAAATCCACAGAAAGATGATTGATCTTTTCAAAGCATTAAGTTGCATAGATGCCGCTGGCGATAGTTTTTTTTTTGAAAAAATCCTAAAAATGGGCAATAAGTTCACTGAAAAGAGAAAGTTGAGTACACGGTACACCTCTTTATCATGTTTATGTTCAGGCATGTTTGAATTGACTTTTCTGTCTTGAAAATGTATCAGACATGTCAGATAAAGCAAAAATATTTGATACATCACCTCTCTTCAGATTCTATTATTTTTATATATTTAGGCTACAGGTTGATTAAATAACATTTAAAATTCACAGTACTTAAAATGAAATATATGGGCCAAGTGAAATACCTTTCTAATGAGTCATAACAACAGAGTAGGTGTGTCTGAATACCAAATTTTTACTAAAAGTACTTGATGACAGACTTTACAACTGGATCTTAAAAATGCATAATTTCAAAAAACTTCATTTTTCAATACATTTCTGGTATGCTAACTATTTTTTTACTAATAGTTCAGACTTTTATCTCATGACATAAACAAGGAGATTTACTGCACAAAGATGTAACTGTGTAAGGCATAAAAACTTGCTCCTTGGAAGCGTGTTTATCAGTCAGGGGTAATACTGATACAAGTCATATTTATTTACTTGAAGATGTAAGTAATATTTACTTGTATAAGTAAATTTGTTAAGAGTTTTATTTTGTTTTCAAGGTTTGAATAGTCTCCCCTTTAACATGTTTAATTCTCAAGTTGTGGGATATCAAAACATGCATAAATTTTTCTGGTTTGCTAATTATTTTTTTATTAGAGTTCAACCTTTATCTCAAAAATCAAACAAAGAAAGAAATCTACTGTGCACAGGTGTTAAGTAACTGTGCAAGGCCCTCAAAAATTACTCCTTTGAAGCTTGTAAATTGACAGTATTTTGGTATAAAAATGATTGAGATTTTCATTGATAATGAAATTATACTGTTATTATTTATGAATTAAGACATCATTTATAGACAGACAATTAAATCCTATTATAGCAATGTATTGCACAGAACTGTAAGAAAATATATTAAAAATACTTTCTTATTTTCAACATGTTCAATTGTAAAAAAAATATCTGAATGACAAAGGCAGATAACTCTAGTCTCTAACTCTAAAAAAATCACAAGTACAATTAACAAGACATTTGTATTATACCTCTGCAATTTGAATTACAAGTTGTCTTCCTTATAGGGATTTTGATAGCGACTTGATTTAGCTATGCACTCAGTCAGCTGGTGAGTTTTAGGGATTTTCAAAAGGTTTTGCTGACTTTAATTGTCATTTCCTCAGCAAGATTATGCCCTGCCTGTATAAGTAATACTGCTGACTATGCTCATTGGCAATCATACCACATCTCCTTATTTTTATATAAGTATAAACTGATTTCTACCTTATTGATCAGATACAAGAATTGTTACATATATATTTGTTAAAATTTGGTAAATACATGAAATATGAAATTTCGAAGTGATTTTGAAATAAGGAATGTATCTCCATAATGCACATAGCTCAGATTTCATGTTCATTTTGGTAAATACAGCTCTTCTGTGTCAGATTTTGAAGTATCATGGCCTAAAGGCATTAATTTTAGGAATAATGCATTTGGTACAGCAAAAATAGTACATTTTTAACTCTCATGAATTTATGTTTTTAATATTACTTTAAACAAAACTCAGTTATTCTCAAAAGATTTATGACTTGATTTTAATTAGTAACCTTTCCATAATAAAAAAATAGTTGTTAGAACTATTATGAAGATATATTATTTCCTTTTCGCTGAACTTGTATACATTATAGTTTAAGGGCCAGCTGAATCCTTGATCAGCATGATCAGGTTGTTGTCTCTTTGACACATTCCCTGTTTTTATTCTCTATTCTATGTATAACTGGCCATGGTATAGTATCCTGTATGAAGAAAGAACAAATTTTTACTAAGCTTTATTGGAAAATATTTACATGACTTACATGATGTTCATGACTTAATTTTTATCAAAAATGCATAATTTTATAAATTAGGAAAATGATTGAAATGGTCCATTTTTTAAAAAGAAATTAGGGACTCTCTACTTGGTCCCCCAAAAAATTGACTTCATAATTAAAGATGTTGAATTCTGACAAATAAAGAATCAAGTGAATTGCACATAGATCATGCAGATTAAGAAAGAGTATAAAATTTAATCAGCAGATAATTCATTTTAATTGGAGAAATTCCATTACCATGATTACGCAACTAAAATGTAGCATGTCAAAAATAATATCTTGTTTATTTTTCAGATATTTATTACAGCCCTAGACATTGGAGAATGAACATCATTTAAAAGGTTTTATTTTCAAAACAAAAGTAAACATTTCATGCAAACAGAGAAATACATGTACATGTACATATAGTAACCTCAACAAGATTTTGATGACAGGAGTTTTTTTAACAAAACAAATCAAAGATGCACATTTAACAATGTTTAAGTTTGCAAATTGTTTGATGCTTAATCAAGTAAAATAAGGGAATTTGTTAAGCGTTATTTTAATAAGAAATAAGAATTGGAGATGTCATCAAAGATTTGAGTGTGTCAACAAGGAAAAGACCTTCAGAAGTTAAGATGGGGGATGATAACATAAGAACCAAGTTATCAAAAAGGAAACGGACAAAACTTAACGAAATCTGGACAAAGCAAAACTTGACATTATCGGGTTCAAATACTGGACAAGAGTCTGATGAAATAAAAACAGGCATAAATTTAACATTATATAAAAGAAAAATGTCTTCTCCAGCAGGGACAAAAAAAGTGAAAATGTCTGCGGTGGAATCAAAGGATCAGTTGGCAGAAAATGGATTAGAGAAAGAATTGAATTCAGCTGGCACCGATTCATTGACAACAAGGCAATCTAAGTCTGACAGCGGTTTGACAAATTTTGAAAGTCCTCCAAATATTGTTGTCATTAAACATGTTAAAAGGGATATTGAAGATAGTCATGATAGTAGTGAAAAGCAATTGCAAAAATCATGTGGAAGTTCGAATTTGAATATGCTTCAATGTGCTCTCTGTACATTGTCGTTTGATAATCCCTCTGTTTATATTCAACATGTTGTATCCCATAGCAACACATCTATAGATTTCAAACAGAACCCTGATGGTGTGAATAAGAGAAAGAGTTTTTTCGTCTGCAGGTTGTGCGATAAGAAATTTGCTAATCGTGAATTTGCCCATGGTCATATCTCACATTTTTTGCAAAACCCTGATCCTGTTCATGAACAGTTTTCAAATTTTTTAGCAGAAGATAAAAAAGAATTGGAAGAGTTTGCTGATAAGTTTATCTTTCCAGTTTCTATTGGAAGTCTAAAAAATATCACCATGGATACAAAGATAAATAAACCAGTAATTTACTATTGTGCAAAGTGCGAAACAAATTTTAACAGTAAATGTGATCTTTTGGGCCATGTGAAAAACTGTATAAAAAACAAGTCAGAATTCAATTGCTCAAAGTGTGACATCCATTTTGAAACAAATGACCTTTTGGAGCAACATATACACGAAGGTCACAGAGAAAGTTGGACAAGTCATATACCGGAATTGGTTATTATAAAAACTCAAGATATTTCTCCTGATGAGAAAAATTCAACGACATATAACATGTATAAATGTCCAAAATGCAGTGAAGTGTGTAACTCCTTACAGAAATTGATGCAGCACAGAGACTCAAAACATAATAAGATAGTTGAAATTCCGGACACGGACTATGTCTGTGCTCATTGTTTATCGACTTTTCCATCACAGGCACTATTATACAAGCATATACAAATCCATAATAGCAAACTTAGTGGAAATCCTATGAAAGAAAAAAGTAAAACTTCCAAATACTTTGACAAGATTATTTTTCAAGAGTCTAACGGAAAATGGGGTTGTAAAATTTGTCAGAAATCTTTCTCAACAAGGTGTAATGTCGTAAGGCATATGACCCTCCATGATGATGAGGAGAAGAAAGATCAGACCTGCCCGTTCTGTCAACGTGTTTTCCATTTCAAGCGATATCTACAGCATCACATCATGTATATGCATGGGCCGAAAAAACAGAAAATATACAAATGTGACTCGTGCAAGACTCAGTTCACCGTTTTAAAGTGCTTTAGAAGGCATCAAAAGAAGCGTTCATGTCAAGAAAGGGGAGATAATAATTCAGTGGTATTAAAATGTCAATTCTGTGAGAGAACTTTCGAGAAGAAACAGTCCCTTGAAAGACATATCAGGACACATACTGGAGAAAAACCATTCAAGTGTGAACATTGTCCTTATTTTAGTGCATATTATGCTAATTTGAAATTGCATAAAAAGAGAAGACATTGTGAAAGACCAAAGAAAAAGGGCAGACCTTTTAAATGGATGCAATTGAGTGGTGGTGAATCACACTGAAATATACCATTTCTCACATGGAATCTGTTATTTCCACCCGTACACAGTTGCTGACTGGTCTTTGACACTTAAGTTTATATCTTTCGCTTTGTTTGAATTTTAAATACAACATGTATAATTGCCTTTCTGATTGTAGCAATCATGGCAGTAGATTTTTTGATTGTACTTGTCAGTTTTTTAAGAAAGAAAAGGAAAAGCATTCCACTCCATAGATTGGGCAGGGGTAAGACAAGCTCAGGATAGGGTGACCCCCTTCGTCCCCTTTTGATCGCCTTTCAAAACAAATCTGATGTTTCTCACCATTTATATGATTTTTTATCAAATAAAATCATCCAAACAATTTTCATTATCTATTAAGTTTTCTGGAATTAGATCCCCCTTTCAAAATCCTGGATCTGCAACTGAAGCTAAAAGTTTGACATCACTATGTGCCAGCTCTGAATGTGTGCGTTTAAAAACCAATGTGAGCTGTTTTATATCTCTCTGTACACTCAGCAGTATTATACATATGTATATAATGTATATGACAAAGTCTTTAATTGATTGGAGCGATACAGATATAGATAATTTTATTGACTAATCAATGTGCCCATTGAAGGGCATATTCAGTTCCATTCTTTGTAAGAATTGGGCAATTTCATGAATTTCAAAGAATTTCAAAAGATGGTAAAAAAAAAAAACGCTGACATAACCATCCTATTTTGAAGGAACCTTCATCACGAGTTAGAAATGAAAGATCTTTCTTTCCTGCTTGTCTGGTAATTTGAGAAATCTGTAGATAACTTTTGGATAGAATATCTGCAAATCAGAGTTAGCTCCCCTGAATTGGTAATTTCTAGTGAATTTCAACCAAATTATATCTTGAAATACCTGAAAAAGAAAAGGAAATGAATGTTTTATAGTCATGCATCCTTATACATTTTGAACTTAAATTAATGTAAACTTGAGTGTTTTTTTTTTGTCATGTTTTCAACCCTGTCTGATTCTTAGGCAGATTGGCATTTAATTACAAAGTAATTATTCATAACATAATAATTAACAGAATAAACAAACCTAAACAATAAACTACATTGTAATAAGACATTAATGATGATATGACCTTGTATCATGCAGTCCGCGTCAAAACAAGCGTCTTTTATCATGTTTATTTACGAGTAAAATATGTTGTAGGTAGACTAATCTCCTTTTGAATAGTACATGTAGTACATGTGTGCTTATTCAGTCAGATTTACTTAATAATATGAATAAAAAAATAATGTTTTCTTCTTTTCTTTGATTCTTTTGACCAATTTGGAAAAAAAGGCCATGTTTTAACCTGTATGTAATCACTAGTAATGACCCCGTTTCTCACCTACTCAACACCAGGTAGAGTGATTTTTCACCTACATGAATTGTCATGATTGTCAAACATGATTGTATTAACAGATATTTATGTTAAACATTTTCAGTATTTGAAAAATTATAAGTTGTTTGTATGAATTTATACAGAAGAAGAAAAGATTTTTTTTATTGCTTTTGCTTACCGGTGCAATATATACATGTATACATGATATATATTATATAAGCTTTACATGCTTCAGTCCAGAAAATTTGTCTATTTTGCATGTACAATCTATTTTAAGTCTTGTTAGTGATTTTTATGTGAAAATGTACTGTTAAAGGGAGAGAATTTGTTTTCCAGCTTTATGCTAGATACTATAACCTAACCATTAGGAAGCACAAGCCTATTGAAGGTTATGGTACTGTATCTAGCTTTGTATGTGTTATACATGTTATATGAGGGTTTGGATGGGGTTTATAGAATAGAAAATAATGGGACTTATAGAAATACAAAATAAAGAAAAGTAAAAAGTGAGACAAAGAAATAAATAATTGATGATAATGAAAAATGAATGAGGAACACTATAATCATGATAATGGGGTGCTAAAACATATTGAAGAGAATTATCAGCGATAATGGGGCTAAAAAATTCAGAATACAGAAATGAAGAGCCCCATCCAGACACTCATATATGTTTTTATGATTGTTTATTTTTTAAAATATGTCTTATGATTTTTTTTAATCAATCCTTTAGTCATGTTAGTGCCATATTCCATGTGTATATATGTAGGACTCTAAAGTGCGATGGTACTCTAAAGTACGATGGTCACGCTAAAGTGCGATGGTCTACGCTAAAGTACGATGGTGAATCACGCTAAAGTGCGATGGTTGTTTGTTTGCTAAAGTACGATGGTATGTCACGCTAAAGTGCGATGGATCAATAGGATAAGGTTCGAGGGCTTAAAACGTTAAAGTACACGGATGTTAAAAAATAGTCTTGTTTCAAAAGCAAGCATGGTATATATTTAATTTATAACTAACCGGTTGTCTTAAGTGATTGTTTCTAAATTTAGAAGACCGATCACGCAATAATTGCTAAAAAGGTAATTTAGGTGTCACAAAATACTATATTTCCTGTAAATGATTTTTTAACAATTCGGGCGTATTTTTAAAAACATGTTAAATACTTGGATAATTGGTGTAGCTTACCGTTCACACAGTCTTTCAATAAACTGAACACCTCCCCTTACAGTCGTCTTTGTAAATTACAATTACAAAATTTGATCATTGTCGGAATATCAGTAACATTAATTTGTACAAGCTTTAATCTAAATCCGAGCGAAAGGCGAAATTCGCCGAGCTTTCTCCTTTTTCGTAGCGAGTACACATACATGTTTTATTTTCCTACAATGTACAAACTATGTTTTTGCCGACAGTTTAAAATTTACGCTTGAAAACATGTACCTTTATTTTACCGATGTTACTTTTCAATAAAATCGACAATATTTTAACGGGGACCGCAAAGTAAACTGCAACGTAAACAATGATTTAACCAAATGTATCCATTCGCTTCCAATAGAAACAGGATACCTACGCGTATACTATTTTGTATCTATATAGTTAAATGGTCAACTGCAGGACACAAGTCCTTCTTCCAGCACCCGAAAAAAAAAACAACTGACATTTGCTTCAGCCGACAAAGCACAGTTAGGTTTAAAATAAAGTCATGGACATTTGGTTTAAAAGTTGTTTTTAAATCAAATATTCTTAATCTTATCTTCCGGCATGTTCATTTTTGGTTTGTATAAACGACTGTTAACCTTATAATCCAACTACGTTTCTTACGTCTATACTTTCGCGGACCATCGGACTTTAGCGTATTGAGGCATCGCACTTTAGCGCAGACCATCGAACTTTAGCGTGACCATCGCACTTTAGCGTCCCCATCGCACTTTAGAGTCCTACATATATATTGTGTATATACTACTTCTCACATGTTTCAAATGAATTAAGATTCTGTACTTTTCACAGACATGTTAGAGCGTCATATCAATGATAGGGTATGTATATAATAATACAGTACCATTGTAAAAAATATTTATAAATACATTTACATTTTATGTAAATACAAGTTAAAATTATGTTTTTATGATCTACTGTTCTTCTGTCCTGGATGATATAAACTTATATAAATATTTTGTTATTCCCAACTCTAGTCAGTCTGTAGTGTCCGGATGCAAATCAAACCCTCTATATATTGAATGCAACCTATTTGGATACAGTTAAAAATAAAATGGGAGAAAGATCCATACTGATTCTGAGGTCACTACATATAAAGTCAATGTCAAAGTTACTTAAAATAGATCAACATTTGTGCAGACAAACTACTTTCTGGGTGCTAAGTCAAATTCAAACTTTACTTGGATGTATGGTCACATGTAATGAGAGAGGAACTTTATTGATTTTAAAGTCACTTCTTTTAAGTTCAAGGTCATACTTCATTGTACTTATTAAATATAAATGGACAACTTTGCAGGAAAGTGGTTTGCTAGAATCAAATATATGTACCCTTACTTGGATATGTGATTTTGAAGTCACAAGGTCAAAGGTCAAGATCATGGTTATTAGAAATATATTTTTGTTAGACAATTATTATGATAAAACTGTCTGACATCATAACAGAATAGAATCCTACCTAAAGCAAATAGAAGTTCATTTGTTACTCATACATGATAGCTGTGGTTTAAAATTTCTTGCAAAATATTGAAATATTTATTTACAAAAATCATGAAAATAGTAATGAACATTGTGAAAACACAAAATTTTAAAACCCTTTTTATACGACCGCAAAAAAAATTTTGTGGTCGTATATTGGTATGACGTCGTCGTCGTCGTCTGGCGTCGTCCGGCGTCGTCCGAAGACACATTAGTTTTCGCACTCTAACTTTAGTTTAAGTGAATGGATCTTTATGAAATTTTACCACAAGTTTCAATACCACAAAAGGAAGATTGGGATTGATTTTGGGGGTTATGGTACCAACCGTAAAGGAATTAGGGGCCAAAAAGGGGCCAAAAATAAGCTTTTTTGTAACTTCCAGACATAACTTGTGTGTTAGTGTATGGATCTCTCTGACATTGTACCACAAGGTTCCATATCACAAAAGGAATGCTGGGATTGATTTTGGGGGTAATTGCCTCAAAATTTTAGGAATTAGGGGCCAAAAAAGGGGCAAAAAACAAGCATTTTTCTAGTTTCATGACAATAACTTGTGTGTAAGTGTATGGATCTTTCTGAAATTGTACTACAAGGTTCCATATCACAAAGGGAAAGCTGGAATTGAGTTTGGGGGTAATTGCCGAAACGTTTAGGAATTGGGGGCCAAAAAGGGGCAAAAAATAAGCATTTTTCTAGTGTCCAGACAATAACTTGTGTTCAAGTGTATGGATCTCTCTGAAATTGTACTGCAAGGTACCATACCTCAAAGGGAAGGCTGGGATTGATGATGGGGGTAATTGCCTCAATATTTTGGGAATTAAGGGCAAAAAAGGGGCAAAAAACAAGCATTTTTCTAGTTTCAGGACAATAATTTGTGTGTAAGTGTATGGATCTTTCTGAAATTGTACTACAAGATTCCATATCACAAAGGGAAAGCTGGGTTTGAGTTTGGGGGTAATTGCCCTAAACGTTTAGGAATTTGGGGCCAAAAAGGGGCCAAAAAACACATTTTCTAGTTTCCAGACAATAACTTGTGTTCAAGTGTATGGATCTCTCTGAAATTGTACTGCAAGGTACCATACCACAAAGGGAAGGCTGGGATTGAGTTTGGGGGTGATGAATCATAAGGGGGTTCAAAAAATTTGGGGGGGGGGGGGGGGGTTTCCTTTTTTTTCTTTTTTTCCTTTTTTTTTTCTTTTAAAATTTTCCATTTTAAGTTGGTTATTTCTGATTCATATTTAAAAGCAAATAATAATGATATGGTAGGAGATACACACCAAACAGGATGTGTAAATTATTATATAATAAGTATTGTGCAATAGCAAGAAATTTTCAATTGCACAGTATTGCACAATAGCAAGAAATCTTCAATTGCACAGTATTGCACAATAGCAAGAAATCTTCAATTGCACAGTATTGCGCAATAGCAAGAAATATCCAGTAGCACAATATTGCGCAATAGCAAGAAATTGTCTTGTACAGTATTGCGCAATAGCAAGAAATATTTAATTGCACAGTATTGTGCAAAAGAAGATACTTCGTAGAAATTGCTTATTTCTTGACCAATTTCAATGGGGTTTTATTCTTGAATTCTTCGGGTTCTTTAATATGCTGAATCTAACCGTGAATTAAGTTTTTGGATTTTGGGCCCCGTTTTTAAATTGGTCCACATTGAGGTCCAAAGGGTCCAAAATTAAACTTTGTTTGATTTCATCAAAAATTGAATTATTGGGGTTCTTTGATATGCCGAATCTAACCATGTATTTAGATTCTTAATTTTTGGTTCCGTTTTCAAATTGGTCTACATTAAGGTCCAAAGGGTCCAAATTAAACTTAGTTTGATTTTAACAAAAATTGAATTCTTAGGGTTCTTTGATATGCTGAATCTAAACATGTATTTAGATTTTTGATTATGGGCCCAGTTTTCAAGTTGGTCCAAATCGGGGTCCAAAATCAAACTTTGTTTGATTTCAACAAAAATTGAATATATGGGGTTCTTTGATATGCTGAATCTAACCATGTATTTAGATTTTTGATTTTTGGGCCCCGTTATCAACTTTGTCCACATTGAGGTCAAAAGGGTCCAAAATTAAACTTTGTTTGATTTCATCAAAAATTGAATTCTAGGGGTTCTTTGATATGCTAAATCTAACCATGTATTTATATTTTGGATATTGGACCATAATAGGTGAATGTCCAATTTAAAATTTTTAAGTTCTTAGACCACATTCATTCTGTGTCAGAAACCTATGCTGTGTCAAATATTTAATCACAATCAAAATGCAAAGCTGTATCAAGCTTGAATGTTGTGTCCATACTTGCCCCAACTGTTCAGGGTTCGACCTCTGCGGTCGTATCAAGCTGCGCCCTGCGGAGCATTTTATTATAATAGTAGGAGGGCATGTAACATGTGTAAGAAGCACTATATTTTCTGGTCCGTGCATCCTCCATTTATCTGTATATATTTAGGTTAAGGTTTTTTGTTAAGGAAGTGTACCAAGATTGAAGAAGTTTTGGTCACATCAACCATATTTTTTGTAAACTTGAAACTGGGTACAAAATGTTCATGTTCATTTTGATGTGAAATTTGTTCAATTATATGCCTTTTTTTTTTAGTTTTGACCCCAATTTCAAAGTTCACTGATAAAAATAGTGGTAGAAGGGAATGGTGTCCTATGGACACAGATTTTTGTTTAAAATAAATGAGGAGCAGACTGTACACTATACACTTAAAATTATAAATTAAGTATTGAATACACTTTTCCATTTGCTTAAAATGAATTGACATTTCTTATATTCGTTTACTTTCGTGTGTATATACAGTGGCGGATCCAGAACTTTTCATAAGGGGGGCCGCTGACTGACCTAAGGGGGGGGCCCGCTCCAGTCATGCTTCAGTGATTCCCTATATAATCAACCAAATTTTTCCCACGAAAGGGGGGGGGGGGGGGGGCGGGCCCCCCAGGGCCTCCCCCCCCCCTTGGATCCACCTATGATAAATACATGTATAAATCTATGACACTCGATATAGATTCTAACAAATGTAATGTAATGGTACCAGAAAGATTATATTATTATATTTGTAAAATGTTATCTGTTAAAATACGTAAATCAGCTGTTTATATATCTGATGTTCATGCATATATTTTTGTACGTGTATACATTTTGGATACTTGATATTTTGTACATATTGTCAGAATTGCATGATGCATTTAACAGAATGTACTTTTTTTTGTTAGTTTGTTTGTTTGTTTTTGATTTGTTATGTTTTTTGTTTTGTTGTTTGTTTTTTTTTGGAGGGGAAAGGGGGGGGGGGGGGGTTAACCTAAAGATTAGTTAGCTATAGTTCAGCTATTTTCTCTACCTGTTTTTTGTAAGTTAACACAACAAAGTACATTCTTTAGATCCTATACACATGACACAAGCAATTTACAAATAAAATCTACTTAGATATTCGGTTTATGAAATAATGTATAATTTGTACATGCATTACCATACTATATAGTCAAGAAAATAATTTTATTAGAATAACACAAGCTGCATACACTATATTTTCTACATAAAATAATGGACAATGGGAGATAACTCAGTTTACAATATTGATAAGGATGTTTTTTTGAAATGGTTAATCATCTTAATATATTGCAATGTTTAATTCTAAGTTAAGAGTGCAAATTAAAAGCATTCCTACCCCTGAGTCCACAAGCACTTTGATTAGTTCACCTCTCAGAATGGGCCAATATTAGCTAATGCCAACATTATAACAAAATGATGTCTGCCATCAGTAACTGTAAATTCAAAAATGCTAGATTAAAGTTCAAGATTTTATTTTCGCGAAACATATCCTGTTTTTTGATTTTTTTTTTTAATTTTTGATATAACTAAAACATTCTGAATTTAAAGTGATTTGTTTTAAAATGAAGTCTTAATCAAATGAATGAAATGAAAACAATCTGGTCAAGGACTTTGGTTTCAAAATTTGACATTTTGCATGTACTTACATGACCTCCATGACCTCTGTTAATAGGAATTACTCAGACATGGGATCAAAATTAATGCTTTTTTTTTAATTAGTGATTTTAATAATTTTTTCTTATGTTGTGCTGTTAAACCATTGTCCCATGTTAGGGGAGGGTTGGTGCCCCAGCAAATATGTTTAAACCCTGCCACATTCTATATGTGCCTGTTCCAAGTCAGGAGCCTGTAATTCAGTGGTTGTCGTTTGTTGCTGTATATCATATTTGTTTTTCATTTATTGTTTTGTACATAAATCAGGCTGTTAGTTTTCTCATCTGAATTGTTTACATTTATCATTTCGTGGTCTTTTAGTGCTTGCTATGAGTATGGGTTTTGCTCATTGTTTAAGGCCGAATGGTAACCAATAGTTGCTATTCTTATTCATCATTTGGTTTCTGGTGGAGATTTGTCTCATTCATAAAGTTGGCAATCATACCACATCATATTTTTATATTGTCCTTAAATCCAAAATGGATGGAATCACTATACAGAAATGTATTTTGTATAGGACCTGAGGCAAAATAATATAAACCTTTCAAATTGAATCAAATCTTGTTACAGAAATGGAACATAGCTTGGATAAAGCACCATGATAGTTTATTTTCACTACAATACTGGATTGTTACAGAATTATTTGTGTTTTAGTTCTATAGTGATTGCCTTTTAAAAGCTTTCTTATATGACCCTTATAGAATGGATTTACCAAACTGGTCTATAGCTATGCCATTACAAGTAAAAAATTTATCTTAAAAATCTAATTTACTCAATTCTAACAATGGATCAGATATAAATTATAAATAGGGCAAAGATGAGCTAGGTGAGCAACACAGAGATTTGTTTTTGATGGGAATTGTATTTCAACACATTTGTTAAAATGTTATTTGTAATATATTTTTAAATATATTTAAAAATTTTAAATGTTTTTGATGAATTTTTCATGTATCTTTGATAAATACATTTTTTGTAATAGTTATGTATGTTAATTTTTACTAATTAGTCTACAAGCTGCATAATTTTATACTTGATATAGGTTTTTATGACTCTTATAAATTGTTATCATTGTTTTTCCTTTTGTTGTTAAATTTTATTTTTTTTTTAATACTGAAATTATTCGTATGCCATTATATAGATATTCTCAGATTCTCATCCAAGTGTTTTATCCTTTATGTTTTATTGGTAATAAAATAAACTATTTCTAAGTTAAAAAATGTTATTTTGTCTCTCTGAGACAAAAGTCACAGAATGGAGACCAATATCCTTCATTCCATTTTGGTAAAGTTCAGTCTATGGTTAAAGTTTTTTTTAGACATCAAAAACTTTGTCAAATCTTTATGGAATTTTACAAAACATGGAGAGAGAAAACAAAACAGTCATTGCAGTATCCAGGGCAAAACTTTGAAAATATTTTTCTCATTTTTACTAATTTTACTGCAAAATTCAAACTTATTTATTTAAGAAATAATGCATGTAGACGTGTGTGATTAGATCAGTTTAAGAGAACCATTAATGTTTCAAAGTCATTGGTATTTGGTATGCAGTTTTATAAGCATTGACATTTCCATTGAGGTTATTTTGCCCTGCACTTTCTGTCATGGTTATTTGCATTGCATAGTTCGCAAGTGAAAGTGTTACATTTCATTTCAACATTTGCATTATACATGTACTATCAAAACTATGTAATGGTGAGACACATCTCTGTGTCAACAGTTTATTGCTATTTTAATAAAGTGTCTTTCTATCAGTTTTTGTTCCAAAATGATTGAGAGTGCAACAACAATTTGGAATCTTAAATCTGATGTTAAAGATTTTCTGTCCGAAAAGGAAAGCAAAGATTTTAAAAGCAAATTTTTATTTTATTGAATGTTCTAGTCGATGTCATCGTCAATTATAATTTTAGCATGATTAGTATAAAACCTGCCAAAGTCATGATTTCTTAAAACTATATTTTAATATTTCTAGGAATGTAGCATAAATGGACCCCATTAAAATTTTAGTATATTTACATGTCTGCTTTTGTTTTATACTACTTTTGCAATGTTTTATGTTGATATTTGATCAAATAAATCTATCTAAACACAGAAATTCGGTAAAATCGTCTTTAAAGGGCAATAACTCAAACAATGAGTTTACCTTTGATTTCGGCCATATTTACATATTTGTAGATTTTGTCTTACTGATCATTTTTGCTATTAAATAATTCTCTTTATCTATAATCATGATAATAGTTTTCAAAATAATAAGCAAAAAATGAAAAAGAAAAAACTCGTCATTTAAGGGCACTACAGTTACTCCTATGTCAACACTAAGGTTGTGAGTTCGATTCCCACATGTGGCAGGTGCGCTCGACTCCATTCTTAATTGACTAGGATTGTCAGATTTTCTTGCCGAAGGTCGTGGTTCTCTCTGGGCACTCCGACTACCTCAACCAATAAAAACTGACTGCTACTAAGTAGCACAATAGCGTTGAAAGTGCCTTTAAACACCTATCAGTCAATCAATCAACCTATGAAAAGCCTTCTGACAGTTTTTGGTGTTTATGGACAGTAGGTAGATCTCAACAGTCTGAAGTTTCTATTTCTATCAGATTATATTTATCTATAGTGGTAATCAACATAATAGAGTAAACTTGCCTTGGCAAGGTGAGCCAAAAATGGCATTTCAGTATGGTCAGTAGGCATCATCAAGAAGTGTTTCTTGTACTGCATAACAATAGGATGTGAAGTAAGATTGCCAATGAGACAACTCTCATAGACCAAAGAACAAAGATGTGAACAATTATTGGTCACTGTACAACCTGCAACAATGAGCAAAACCCATACTGTATAGTAAGCTATTCCTGTATGAAAACATGTGAAACGAATAGTTCAAAAGAGAAAACCAAAGGCCTGATTTATACTACAATAATAACAGAATAACAAATATAGCAGACAGCAACCTAAAAATAACTTTATAACAAATATAGCAGACAGCAACCTAAAAATAACAGTATAACAAATATAGCAGACAGCAACCTAAAAATAACAGTATAACAAATTTAGCAGACAGCAACCTAAAAATAACAGTATAACATATATAACAGACAGCAACCTAAAAATAACAGTATAACAAATATAGCAGACAGCAACCTAAAAATAACAGAATAACAAATATAGCAGACAGCAACCTAAAAATAACAGTATAACAAATATAGCAGACAGCAACCTAAAATTAACAGTATAACAAATATAGCAGAAGCAACCTTAAAATAACAGAATAACAAATATAGCAGACAGCAACCTACAAATACTGCAGGATTACAGCCTTGGACTTGCACATAAAGACTATGATGCAATATATTTACGAGCGCTCATCCCATTGTTACCTAAGAAATTCAATTATAAAAACCAATTTCAAAATATCTAGAATAGTCAGAAAGGTACAAAAACAAATAGCAAAAAGACGAAAGATGCCAAATACCTATCTGAGTTATTGCAATCTAGGTTAAATTACAACTAACAAACAAACCATGCTCTCCCTGACTAAAATGTTAATCAGTTACTGTACACCAAAGTATTTAGTGTTATAGAACTTTGTTTACTAATGTTAAACTTTTGAAATGTAACATGTCTGATAAAGACACTTGTCCAGTGTGTAAACAATCTAGAGAAGATTTATAACATATATTTATTAATTGTGTCAATCTGTCACAATACACTGATTTTCTGAAAGATTTTTTAATAAATTTTATGTGCAACGTTGATGATACTTTTGTAAACACGCTTGATTTTGACCAAACGATGCTAATGGGTTTTTTGAAGAAAAAGTAACGGTTTTAATTTTTATTTCGCAAATTTTATTATAAGTATAGCAAGATTAAGTATCTACAGAGACATATAATACATTGTATTATATGTCTCTGGTATTTATAAGAGAAGACATTTTGTATTTTTGGATCCTTAAGCTAAACTCAATTTAGTAGTCTAGACTATTTTAAAACATTGTTAGAAAAATACATCTCTCATTTTTTTTTATCTTTTAAATCAGAGAAAAGAACATTTATTATTAGAAAAATATTTTATATTAGACAATCCTGTTATTAAAGTAACAGATGGCCATGCGGACAAATTGTATTAATTCTAAACTATACTAGTTGACATGTCATAGAATTAACATATTTAAACTTTTTTGAATTGCTTTTGATATTGTTTTAATTGACTACATGTAACTGTTTGTTTGTGACACCAGATACTGTCTGGTGAATTTTTATTGTACATATTTGAATAAAATTTTATAAAGAGAAAAGTAGTTGAACTACTGTACTACTAGCCTGTCAACACTGAGGTTGTGAGTTCGAATCCGGCATGTGGCAGGTGCGTTCGACACCAATCTTAATTGACTAGGTTTGTCAATTTTCCTACCGAAGGGCACTTCGGCTTATTCCACTAATAAAAACTGACCGCCACGAAATACCACAATAGTGCTAAAAGTGGCGGTTAACACCAATCAATCAATCAATCTTAATCCACAAGCTCTATAATCAACATCACTATAAACAAATAAGGATATGATACATTAATTCGTATCCGCCATTATATTGAACTTGACGTCTTTTGATTTATAAACCTGTGTAAATGATTGCTGTCTCTATACTTTTATTTCATGTTTCCTTGACGTTAAATCCATGTTTCCTTGACGCTTAATTCATGTTTCCTTGACGTTTATTTCATGTTTTTTTTTAAACTGCAACTGTTACTCTTCGTCTGTTAGTATAACAAATTCGACCACCATCACATCGTAAAATTGAAAAATTGGAACTGGTCTTCCATGTACCATATAGTATGAACATTTAAGTTCAGTACCTTCTGGAGGGAGGCTTGAGTGCGTTGAATTTTTTTTTTTTTTTTTTGCGATAATTTGTGTTGTCCATACCTTTGGCGATAATTGTCTCTGTTTTGTCAATATCATTGACGATAATTGTCCCCCGTGCAACGCGTTACGGGGAACATAGAAATACCGGACGTCCGTCCATCCGCTCGTCCATCTTTGCGTCCGTCCGTCCGGTCTTGTTAGCGCTTTCACTTGTACAATTATTGCCAGATTTTTATGAAACTTATATCATAGGTTTATATCAGCAATGTGTTGGACGAGTTCGAAAACCAGTCCCTTGATCAATTAATTTTTAAAGAGTTATGCCCCTTGGAAATATTAATTATATAGAAAATTGCCTCATGAGCGCTCTAATATGTACAATTCTTGCTAGATTTTAATAAAATTTATATTATAGGTTTATATCATCAGTTTCTTTGACGAGTTCAAAATTCAGTGCTGATCCATTATTTTTAAAAGAGTTATGCCCCCTTGGAAATATTGATTATACGGAAATTTGCATTGTTAGCGCTCTCACAAGTTCAATTCTGGCCAGAATTTTATGAAACTTATATCATAGGTTTATATCGGCGATGTCTTTGACTCTGTGCGAAAATAAGTTCTGATCAAATATTTTTAACGAGTTATGCCCCTTGGATATATTAATTACAATGGAAATCACATTGCATTTGCTCTTAAGCCTTCAATTCTCTAAGATATTAATAAAAATTCTTGTAGAACAAAAAAAAAAGTTCTTTTTTAGTTATTGCTCTTGTACCTTGTAGAGATAAAATATGTACAACGCGAAGGACATTGGAACTCTTTTCTTTTATTATTTTGGATTCAGTTGTTTTAGGGCGGACCTGTCCTTGAATACGATTATGTTGGGTGTGTTTCCTTTTATTTGGCGCTTGTCTCGAACCTTGACGATTCATATTACGGTTCTATGGCATTCCATGGCACACGGTGTCAGAATATTATACGCTTATTGACTGGTTATGAGGGGTAATAGCATATTTTTTGTCCCTGAGATACCAACTATTACTCGAGGCGAAACCGAGGGCAATCGTTAGTTCCGAAGGGACAACACACTTGCTATTACCCTCATAACCAGTCTTTAATTGATTTATTATACCAAACAAAACAACTTTCTAAAGAATCTACATATACACCACCTGGTAAAAACACATAGTCGCATCATACATGCACTAGATGAACTTTAAATATTTTTTTGACCGCGTGACATTTGTAAAAATTTCATCAAAACTAATGCAATAAAAAATCGGAATCCTTGTGTAAAAGTTCCCATGCATATATTTACCGCTAACTAAAATATATTACTGTACACCGAATCAATCACAGATTTTAAGGACGAGAACAGACTCATACCACACATTTGTTTGCATGTCGCGTAGACTTTCTTTTTCTTTTTTGATTGCTCTTGGTAAGGAAAATGTTAATTTGAAATTACGACGACAAACATATACAGTTTTTACTGTTTTCGATATTTCAGATTTTTACGCTAACATGCGCTAAAGCAACACGAAAAGTCAATGACGTCATTGTCGTCCAATGAAAAATAAGTACGAAAAAATCCGGGGAAAATTATTAGAAAACTATTAACCGGGGTAATAGTCTTTGAAACTATTAACTGGCAAATAGTCTGTTGAATGAAATAGCACAAATATTTCTTTCTTTTTTACATAGTAAAACTATGGGAATAATGAAATTTTCTATTCTCTCTAGACCGTGATTGACTTCTTCTTTGTGAATTTTGCTGAGCGTTTCTTCTTGGTCTCGACTACTTTTTCCATGCTGTCTGTTTTGCTGCTCAGCATTCTTATAAATCGGACGGTATTTCTGTTTTTGGATCCGTCTTCTACCATTTAAAGGTTTTTTCACGATTAATATTCTTTAACAGCTCCTTAACATATTGTTAGGCGTTTTTTTTAGGATTTTTTTCTTTCCTTGCCATATTTTTCGGGATTTTTATTGTTCCTTGGAAATATCGCGTGTCCAAATTTCACTCGTTTTTTCAGTAATGTTTTCAGTTGAAGTGCGTTACAAATTTGTAAATATAATAATTGAAAATGTTAAATCTTTAATGGTATATTAATACTGTTTGTAATTAAATGCCTGTTCATTCGGTTTTGTCATATCGATTTGAATCTTAATGGTATATTGATACTTCTTGTAATTGCATTTCTGTTCGTTCAATTTTTCCACATCGACTTGAAAAGACAATTTAAAGACTTCAATGGTTTAAACATATCAAATCGCCTTCTTTGATTTCAAATAGATTGATAATCACAAAAGGCTTAATGAAGTCAGATGCCGTTTTAATTGTTGGTTACAGAGATTTTACATCATGGCTTTATTATCAATTCAAAGTGGCATTAACAGAAATTACAAATCGGCTTTCACTAATAGATCGTTCAATGACAAATTACAGAATAAAAACGTGCAATCTAAACAAATTAAACTGCTTGAACTGTATAACGACTTCTCTTTTGCTGTATATAATCCGTTTTATGGAATAAAGCCAAAAATCCTGGAACCGACCATGCTAACTAGTAACTTTACTCGTGTAAGATTTTTTGTGAAATGAGTCGCTGCAAGCTCCAACAAAGTAAGACATCGCGTTACTTCGATAAATTGCAATCTGCCATCTTTAGTAAATGTTGCGCATAGAAATTGCATAGGCCTTTCAATAAACTTTTTTCTGTTAGTTCGACCCGTTTTTCAATCGATAGGATAACGAGAAAACAATACAACAACAAAAAAGACAACGAAATATCTAGATAGTGTCTTTAACAATTAATATAGATCTAAATCGCTCAAAATGGGGACAATCGAAAACAACTTATAAAATGAGACAGGCGCGGATCCAGGATTTGATGTTAGAATTGGCAATTTGAAGACCTTATTTCGAAATAATAGTAGCTGCAATTTTAGCATATGATTTAAGGGCCTGGTACCTGGTGTGATCTCGTCTGAATCCGCGCCTTTAAGGTGGAAGGAAAGTAATGAAAAATATACAGTTACACTTTTATATTGGATATCATTTTGTTTATATATATATATATATATATATATATATATATATATATAAGTCTGAAAATTACACCCAACAGTGTTAGAATTAGACTTTTATGCTGACAAATTTTTGTCCCTCAACGGGATTCGAACTCACACCTTTGATACACTACAGCACCAATCGCTTAGCCTCATGTCCAGCGCTCTAGACCACACGACCACATCCGCTATATGAAAATATAACTTCAATAGTCGTAGTGTTACCTTGTCACGTAAGGCGAATCTAGAGATAGACATAAGACATGTGCTTTAAGCGTGTGAAGATGTTATATTATTATTAAATACACAATGTATTTGTTATTTGTCAGCAATCTAACTCAACAATTGTTATATACCGTATGGGATAATGATTCAATTCATTATACAGTCACTAGAAATAAGTATATCATACAAACAAGTCTAAGCAAGTGACAACCATACAATATATATGCCCACTGGATATATATATATATATATGTATAAGATGGAGTTTTGTACGACAAATATATTTAAAAAGAAAGGAAAGTAACGAAGCAGAAAGAATAAAAAATTAACGAGGACGGCTGTCCAGAGTCAAAAACCTTGTAAGTGGTTGTTTTTCTGAATGATTTATTTTTCTGAATTTGGTATCTATAGTAGATCTTCGATAGTCTATACATGTATAAAATAAGATGTGGTATGATTGCCAATAAGACAACTTTTCACCAGAGATTAAATGACGTAGATGTGAGCAAATATAAGTTTCCGTAAGGCCTTCTTTTCTATGCTCGATGAGGCGATTTAAATTATTGACATCTTGATTTGAATTTCATTTATTGTGCTTTCGTTAATTAGAGGCCGTTGCTTTTTTAGTTTTGATCTTTAAAAATGAGTTTAGAACACTGTGCGGGACAAATTTGCCATTCCAGAATTGGCAAATTTGACTTTGTTAATTTACAACATAACAAAAATATTTTTTGGCTAAGTGATAGATACTTAAAAAAAATTTCCCATATGTCCCAAAGTGCCACTGTTACTGTTGTCACTACAGCTGATTTAAAGTACATTTCCCACGGGAAATTTAAGAATTCCCATGGGAAAATTTAAAGTTCCCATGGGATAACAAGCATACAAAAAGTCCCCATGCAAATTTTACTTTTCCTATAGGAACAATTTTCTTCCCATGGGAACATTTATTCTTCCTATGGGAACAATTTTTTCTTCCTATGGGAACAATTTTTATTCCCATGGGAACACAGGTATAGATATAGAAGGAGAGTTGGAATTTAACCCGGTCAGGCAAAGAAGATCATTTGCAAAATACTATGGAGACCTCAGTATTCCAAAAGAAACAAAGTATGACTACTCATATCTGG